CGTGGATCTGACCAACCACCGAGCGTTGGCGGCTCTCGTCCCTTCACCTGGACAACTGAGGTGAGCCGCATTTATGAGGGTGCAGGCTGTTTCGGCGCCTGTCCGCTCATTCGTACTGTGGACGGCCATCTGACGGGCCTGGAGTATTGTGCCCTCTCCCTTGATTTGTGGGATTTGACCATTGATGTAACTGTTCCCATACTCCAAGTGGGCAGTTGACAGTGAGCTGGCGAGTCTGCAGCTTGGGTCTGCAGGCGAGCTTGCAGGCGAACTGGGTCTGCAGGTGAGTTTGGGACTGCAGGCGGACTTGGGTCTGCAGGCGAGCTAGCAGGCGAACTGGGTGTGCAGGCGAGCTCAGGTGCGCAGGCAGACTTGGGTCTGCAGGCGGATTTGGGACTGCAGGCGAATTTGAGTTGCAGGCGAGCTCCTGAGCATGGATTGAAGAATAGGCCGTAACTTTCAAACCGTAAGTCGGAATTGGACGAATTATATATGAAAATCGCCTATCTCGACGAGATGGAGCCATCCGAACCTAGCCGAAGGCTTCGGTTCGCTTCCTCCGTTTTGCCAAATTCCTTACGGTTTGGGAGATATCTGCGTTTTCCCCTTTTTCGCTATTTCGGATGAGGTTTTAGCAGTTTTGTTCTGAACTTCTCTGATAAGGATTTAAAGGCGATTTTTATTGCCTACATTATCACATATATTTTTCTCAATATGCATTACATCTAAGTTGTGTCGGATTTTAAGATTTTTCCAATAAGGTAGCTGAAAGAAGATACTAAATTTAGTCCATCCTCTAGGTAATTTTTCAGCTTCGTTCTCAACTTGCATTTTTTGGACCTTCCGCTTTCGCTTCAATGACTTTTTTGACTTTAAGGAATCTCTTACTCCAATCGGGTTGATTTTAGAATATCGATTTTTTCCAAACCTAACTTTTGGAAAACCCTCAAGTAATTTTACGATCTCATTACCTTTCAGCTGACGCGGCTTCGTTCTCTTCTCAATTGTACCATCAAACATATTTGATTTGCTTCTGTACTTATGACTCAAGGGCAACCACCGACGATTAAACCAATAACAACTCTTCCGGCTATGTGGTAGTCGAATAGCTTCAAATTCCGGACCACATACAGGACAAACACACTTGCCCTTCGTAGAGTACCCGGACAGATTAGCATAAGCTGGAAAATCATTAATCGTCCACAATAGAATAGCACGTAATCTAAACGACTCTTTTAAATGAGCATCATATGCTAAAATACCCTCTGACCATAATTATTTCAGCTCATCAATTAGAGGCTCTAAGTAGACATCAATATCATTACCTGGAGCATGCTTATCAGGTATCAGTAATGAAAGTATCATAAACGGCTGTTTCATACAAAGCAATGAAGGTAAATTATATGGCATTAATATAACTGGCCACGTAGACCAACCAGAGCTCATTACCCCAAATGGATTGAATCCATCGCTAGATAGACCCAGTCTTACATTTCTGCAATCTTCGGCAAACCGAGGATAAGTTGTTTTATCCACATGCTTAAAGCATCAGCAGGATGTCTCACTTTGCCGTCATCTACTCGATCTTCCTTGTGCCACCTCATGTTCTTTGCTGTGTCTTTGTTCATGTACAATCTTCGTAATCTAGGAGCCAATGGAAAATGTCGAAGCACCTTGGCAGGAATTTTCTTCGACGTTACATCTGTCTCTGTTGTAATCCTTGTTGAAGAATTTGTGCGTTGCTTCCACCTAGTAACTCCACATGTCGGACACTCTTGAAGGTCTTTATTGGCTTTGTAGTACAAAATACAATCATTCAGACATGCATCAATCTTATTATAATCAAGACCCAGAGTGGAGACAATCTTCTCAGCTTGATAAGTTGTTTGGGGTATGCTATTCTCTCCTCCAGGAATTACCGTCCGAAGAAAATCAAGGAGCATTTTGAAATATTTATCTGACATGCTGCTAAGTATCTTAATATGTAGGGGTTTCAGCATAAAAGAAAATTTAGAGTACTCGGTACATCCATCATATAAGTCATTTTCACTATCTTCTAGTAGCTCTATTATTCGCTTTATATCCCCGGAGGAATGCATATCATCAAAATTTTTGACACTTTCGACATCTCCTACCTCTTCAGGTTCAACTTCGATATCATCTTCACTTTTATCTCCGATATCATCATCGACATTATATTCTGTAGGTCGAGGAAAAATATCATTCAACATTGTTATTGTGTCATATATCCGTTGGCCACCGGATGTACCAACATGCACATTTGGATCCTCATCTTCAGTTATATCTTCCTCATGATAGTTCCAATATTTATAATTTTCATCAAAACCTGATGTTATTAGGTGGACCCGTATATCATTCCTATTCAGTAGCTTCATATTCCTACACCTACAACAAGGACAATACATAGCACCACTTCCTAAATTTCTCGGATTCATTTCAGCATAGCACATGAAGGCGTCACATCCCTCCTTGTATCGCGTGTCACGAAATCTATCGAGCCGTGGGATATCTATCCATGATTTGTCAGGAATTATCCTCATCTGTAAATTATATATAATTATTAACTATGATTAATCTCACAACTACTAGTACATCCAGGACTCTTGTACATTCAACACACATCAAACATATGTTCACATATCATTTAACAATATGAATATTTATCTACATAAAATATATATGAATGTACGTAGAAACTAATTACATCAATCTAGCGGCTGTCATAGGAAGGCTTCTATCCATTAAGAATATAGTAGTGCTTACATCCAACTTCGTATACTTTGTATATTTTCATTTCTTAAAAATTTCGGCAGCACCTACCCGCTATTCTCCCTGTACACTGTGTGGATGTTATTATGCGTATCAGCAATAGCCCGAAACGCATAACAACATACACTTATTGTACACGAAGAACAACGAATACGCGCTGCCAAAACATTCAAGAATGAAAATATACAAAGTATACAAAGTTGGATGTATACACTACTATATTCCTAACCCGTCCGAGAAGGACAGATCCAATAATTATGAATTTCAGTACTAATTTTTTTTTCGTATAATATAAAATAAACGCTCATTTCCGAGAGAAAACTTCGTCTCCTGCCCAAATCTGAGTCGTATATTATATACTATAAGTCCAAAGAATTGGATGTAATTATTAGACGGAAGTCTAGGGATAACGTTATTTTTTTATTCACCTAAATTGGATTATAACACATTATAAAAAAGTATAATGTGCTATATATCCCTCTATTTTTTAAATTTTTTTTATTTCACATATTTTCACATCACAAACTTAAATATACACACCTACTTATAGCACGAATGAAACTTAATCGTGTTAGGGTTTATAAGTGTTTAAAACTCAATAATGATTACTAGTGTAGTTCAAATGAATTAACATGTAGTTGAGTTAGGGTTTTCAGAATTGAACTCGTTTATTTTTTATCATAATTAGAGTTTTAAACAAAATTCAACAATAAATAATAATAAAATTGAAATTTCTAAAGCTCAGTAGAATAATCATACCTTTTAAGCTGATTCAACAACGGCACACGCCGCGTGGACGGTGCGGAAGGCGGGTGCTCGGGAGGGAGGTGGTCGCGCGAGGGCCGGAGGGGGCGCTGTCAAGGCGGGGAAGTGGGAGGGGCGCCTGCCGAGGGGGCGAGACCGCGGGCGGGCTCGCGGGCAAGTGGCGGTCGGTGAGGGGGCCTGCCCGAGGGGGGACGGGTGGGAGGGGACGAGTCGGCGAGCGGAGGGCGGCGCTGCCGAGGCGCGCGGGAGGCGCTCCGGCGCTCGATGGAGAAGGGGGCGGTCGGGAGCGGCCGGAGAGCTGGCGAGGGCGTAGGCCTGCCGACGGCGGAGAGGGCGCGGAGGTCGGGAGAGGGCGGACGGCCGGACTGTCGTGGCGGGGCCGGAATGGGGGCACCGGCGGACAGGGGGGTCGGAGCGGGAAGGCTCGGGAGGAGCCGAGGACTGCCAAGGGTGATGGCCGGGGCGGCAGTCGGGGGGCGCGACGACAGGCGGAGGAAGGTCGGAGGGGGAGGGGGGCGCGGGCTGCGAGCGCGGAGAAGGGAGAGTCGGGCAAGGCGGCTGCGCGATCGCTTGCCGCAGGGGGGCGGGGGGGCGGCGAGGTCGGGGCCGCGACGAGCGAGAGGGCGCCCGCGGGCGAGGGGCCCGGCAGGAGCAGTCAAGAGGGAATGAGATAATGGCGGGGGGCTGACAGATTCTAAAGCTATTAAGCCCCTAGACACTAGCCACCGGAAATTCCGTCTAGATTGCTCAACCTAGACGCGAATTTCGTCTAGCGCTGACCACTGCAACCAGCTAGACGGAAATTCCGTCTAGGTTGCTTCAACCTAGACGGAAATTCCGTCTAGGTTGCATGGTCAACCTAGACGAAAATTCCGTCTAGGTTGTCCCCGCAACCTAGGTTGCCTGTCAACCTAGACGGAATTCCGTCTAGGTTGATCTTTCCGTCTCGTTTGGCAAACTAGACGGAATTTTCCGTTTAGTTTGATCCAAATTAGACGGAGCAACCTAGACGGAAATTTTCCGTCTAGTTTGATTCAACCTAGACGTAAATCTTTTCCGTCTAGATTGTTCCGTCTAGATTGATCATTTTTCTACTAGTGCTTATTAATCCAATTGAAAAATCTAAGCCCATCCTAATCCCAAGCCCTTATCCATACATGCTACCAAATATTCTCACTCACGGGTGTCGAAGAAAATAATAAATTACTGTTTTAAAATACAACCTTTATTGCATTCATCCTCAGCCGTACAAATTAAGAATCCATGAAGCATTCCATTGCATTCCCCAGTTGCATTACTTCCAAAACCTCCGCACCACGCCCAATCCGAACCCGTGATCCACCAAATACTGCCTGACTACTTCACGGGCCCCTAACTCTTCTATAAAAGCCCAATCCGATCTGAGCCGAAATCATGCCAGAGATCAACAACCAAAAAGAAAAACTATGGCCAACCTCTCTACCCTCTTCCTTGCTTTCTTTGCTTTAGCCATCGCCTTATCCACCGCCGCCCGTGAGCCTTTTCGGGCCTCGGCGGGCCAACAAGGGCTCTGCAACATGAACCAGACCGGTCTCGACGCTTGCAAGCCATGCATAACGGGCCCCAAGCCCACTGAAAAGCCCACGGATGTTTGTTGTGAGGCTCTGAGCCATGCTGACCTTAACTGTCTTTGCTCGTACAAGAACTCAGGGTGGCTAACGTTCCTGAGGATTGATCCTGAACGTGCTATGCAGCTGCCTGCTAAGTGTAATATGACGCCGCCGGCAAAGTGTTAGTGGGTCTCGTTAAAGCCCATTTGGCCTGCGTTTGTTTGTGTGTTTGTGTTAGCGTCGAAGTAATTGGTGTCAGTGTTGTCGCTAGGTTGTTGACAGTTTTACGTTCTGGGTTTTGTTATGTTTGATTTTTACTAGTGCTGGAAGTGTTTGTCTGATTCCTTTTTCTTAAAAGTGTTAATGAATTGAATTGTGTTGTGTTTGTGTTTTACGCCCCATGCGTATTTTCATGGGAGTATTGCAATTACTTCTAACTTACAGGCAATTTCCGAACATTTTTTTTTCTGCAAAAGCTTGACCAACGTGTCACTAGCCTTAACTAGAATTAAAGGTTGAGATTCTCCTGTAGGGGCTAGTTTGGTACAAGGTAAATAGGGTTAAACTTTCTCCTAGTAAATTTTCTCCTAATTTTAACCATGTAGGTTTGTTATCATCTTAAAATTTTATCAAGATTAAAAGTTTAACCATAT